TTTACAATAGCTCTTCGTATGAATAATTGTCCAGGAAAATCTGCCGGAAGTGGAATAATATAATTTCTTAGATATTCGATTACTTCTGGCAAGCTTTTAAATCAAATAAATTAGCATATAGCTTTAATTAAAAAACCATTACACATATACTAACCTTAAAAATGTTTTAGCAGCTTCAACATAATTTTTAGCATTCTTTAAATCCAATTTGATGCAGTCTATTAATTTGGTTTGATTAAATTTTCTATGATACTTTTGAGCAATATCTGCATTATAAGAATGAATTGTTAAATTTTCAATTAAGTTTGTTTTATTTGATACCCAACTCCAATTTGACTTTTCCGAATTGTAACTATTTGCTAAAGTAAATATATATTTTTGGCAAATTGTTTTTAAGAGAAATGCATCGACACCTTGGGGATTATGAACAGGTAAACCATAAGTAGAATTATAAGAAATAGGAGGACATCTAATAGTATTAAATAATATGGTGGCCATGTGAACGATTTGTTTAGCTGAATTTGTTGATGGAATACGAGTACCATGAAGATTATGATAATCGTCTACGCATGCAATAAAAAGACTATTATACTTAAAAATTGTAATAAAATTAGTATATATATTTAATAAGTTAATTATTTAAAAAATATTTTAACCTACGTGATCTTGAATATATTTTTTCACACTAGTGTAGTGCTTATCACTTATTCCATTAATTTTATTAAAAGCCGTTTGGTATGTAGTACATAATCCCATATTAGCCATTGTATTAATACAATGAGCCGAGGCTCCAGATTTTGTAAAAAATAATCCCAGTGCAGCTTTGACACCGCTTACTTGCTTGTTTCGCAATCCGGCCATTTCATAGCACAATACCATAATTTTTTCTTTTAAACTTTTTCGTGTTTTCAAAGCTTTATCTTTAGGATTCATTGCATTATATAAAATATTAAAAAATCCTTGAGTTTCAGGATCTTTACGTTCAATTAAATTGATGAAGTCATCAGCATTTAATTTTGGCGAGTTTCCCTCTCTTTGATCTTGATAAAGAACTTTTGTCATTCGTGCTATCTGATCATTGAAATATTCTGAAAATTGTTCTATAATAATTAATATTAAATATTAAAAAAAAATTATCGGTTTAATATTTAAAATAAATAACATTGTATTACCTGTATTGATATCTTGAATATTGCTGTTTCCAAATTCATCTATTTCAAAATGTTCCAGATTTGAGATCTTATTCATTAAATGTTTATAAATTTCTTGTGATAAATCGATTTCATCATTGAAAATATTTATGTCCTTATCAGCATTAAATCGTTCAACTACATTACTACCTTCCGCAGATTTCAAATACCATTCAGATGCCTTCAGTTTATCTTTAGGAGTACCTATGCCCTCATCGTAGCAAAATCCAACATTCAATTGTCCATTAAGGTTTCCACTTTCGGCAGAACTTAAATACCACTCAAAAGCTTTCTTTTCATCTTTGGGAACTCCAACACTATTTCGATAACAGTTTCCAACATTTAATCGCCCTTTTGAATTTCCACCATTAGCAGATTCCAAGTACCATTTGAATGCTTTCTCTTCGTTTTTGGTTGTTCCTATGCCATTTTGGTAACAGTACCCAACATTCAATTGCCCATCGAGATTTCCACCATCAGCAGACTTTAGATACCATTCAAATGCCTTCATTGCATCTTTGACTACACCTATACCATTCTGATAGCAGTTCCCAACGTTCAATTTCCCATCAGTATTTTCGTTTCTAGCAGATTTTAAGCACCATTCGAATGCCTTCTTTTCATCTCTAGGTATGCCTATGCCATTTCGGTAGCAATCACCAACATTCAACTGACCTTCAGAATTCCCACACCCAGCAGATTTCAAATACCATTCGAATGCCTTCTTTTCATCTTTAGGTATGCCTGTACCATTTCGGTAGCAATTTCCAATTTTCAATTGTCCAAGAGAATTTCCACCTTTAGCGGATTTCAAATACCATTCGAATGCTTTGTTTTCATCTTTTGGAACGCCTATACCATTCATGTAATTATTTCCAATATTGTATTGTTCGTGTGAATTTTCGTCCTCTGTATCCTTTTTATTGTAAATTGAATTATATTTTCGTCTTTTATTTGGTTTTAAGTTTCTATCAAATAATATCAACTCAACGTAATGTTTATGACACAGTTGATCATACAAACTAAGTTCTACTTTCAATTCTGAAGCCGTTGGGCTTTGCATTGCTTTTTGCAAAAGGTCTGGTGTCAATACGCGGAATATTTCTTTAAGGTCAGCTTTGCCGCATACTGAACATGGTCCCTTATTTTTACGCTGCCTACCCTTTGGCATTGTCACAAGTAAAAGTTTTGCCTATTTTTTGATCTTGAAAAACTATTTTCAGATCTTTGAAATTGAAACACTGTTGGTTCTAAATACAAAATCCAAGCCGCTGTACATTAGTAAGAAAAAAAAAAATTGAGGTATCGCAAACTTAATTAAAGTTAACCAATCAATGTAAATCAACGTGAATTTTAACCCCCGTAAAATTGACCAATCATTATGATCTTTAACCATGCTATAATAATGTGGGATTCTCGTTCACGTGATTATACGTATATTTTTAATTACTTTGTGCGCCAAATTAATAACTGCATTAGATTAAATCATTATCTCTCTAACGTTATTCTTACCCTTTCAAATGTTACTCAGTATATATTTAAATTTTGATCCAAAGCAAATTTTACATCTCGCTACATTTACATTAGTTACGTAACGACATTGTAACCTTTCACACAAAAAATTCCCCACCGGTTTTTTTGATAGTATTTTAATAGTATTTCCACTTCTCTAACGCTAACAAATTTAAAAAATTTTTTTTTTTAAAAAAAAAGAAACGATACAATGGTAAAATTTTCATTTTTTATAGATATATACTACTTTTGTACTTTTATCTTAAAAACAATTTACATTAACGACTTTAATTCTAACCTTCATTAGTCTGATGAACATGGGAAAGGTATCGTGGACATTGGAAGCAATGGTATCCGATTTGGATTAGTATCTTCATTGAGTCGTCATTTACCAGTAATTTATGAAGAAAGAGCTCCAATATCATTGTTTGAAGCTCAATATTCTGGTACTAAGCTTATACCAATCCCGGAACATATAATAGTTGACGTTATAAATAGCTTAACCCGTTTTAAATTACTTTCACAATTTTATAAAGTTAATGATGTTCGTGTTCTAGCAACTGAAGCTACACGAACTGCCCCTAATTCTGATGACTTTCGTTCTCGAATTTATAATGCAACAGGTTGGGAAATAGAATTACTTTCTAAAGATGATGAAGCTAAAATTTCTGCTATGGGTATAATTGCTACTTATTATGGTGTTGAAGGTCTAGTCATGGATATGGGTGGTGGCTCTGTGGAATTAAATTACGTAATTCATCATCCTAAAGATGGTACAATCAAAACGTCGGATTTTCCGATAAACCTTCCTTATGGTGCTGCTGCGTTAACAAAATTACTGAATGAAGCGGATAAACCACGAAAACGTCATGAATTATTTAAACTAATAAAAAACGATTTAGAAAAAGGTCTTAAAAAGTTGAATCCTCCCAAGCACATAGAAGATGAACATGGTGGCTTTACGGTTTATATGTGTGGTGGTGGATTACGTTCATTGGGTTATTTAAGTATGTCGGAATTTGAATCGGAAACTTCAAAATCTTCAAAACACAAAATTACTTATCCGATACCAATAATTAATGGTTATGGAATTTCGGCAAAAGAACTTGCTCGAATTACAAACCGTTTCGTTCCATCTCATGATCCTTC